CACCCGTTTGAGTACTGTTCATTGTGGACCTTGTATTCGATGCTAAGAACGTGTTTAAACATCCATAGACAAAAATTGTCACATTGACAACTAGAAAAATTAATGACCCAATGTCACCAACTTGAACTGGTTCCATAAAATGTTACTAAAATCTCATTACAGCATCGGATGCTGTAAGAAGTCTCATTACAGCACCCGTTTGACTACTGTTATAGCTTTCATTACCGTCGCGAATTACAAAATAGTATATTAAAAAACAAGTTTCGTAAGACATATTCGAAGTGCACGAATTTAAGTTGAAAAACGAGTGGCGAAGCCACGAGTTTTTTTAATAAATGAGTGCTTTAAGTCTTATGAAACGTGTTTTTTATGCCATTTTTTGTAATTCGCGTTTCTATCCTTTTTTTTTTATCAAAAATAAAATAAATTTTGACAATCTAGGGAAATAGGTATGTAGCAGTTGGTAACACCGTAACACTTGAAAATAGAAATTTGAATTGACAATTAGAAACTGTCAAAACACAAAATGTATTCACCTGAAAAACATGTTTCATGTACACCTCCCAAAATAAGAGAAATTGCTCAGAGTTCAATGACCTCATCATTGTGGACCTTGTATTCGATGCTAAGAACGTGTTTAAACATCCATTGACATACATTGACAACTAGAAAAATTAATGACCCAATGTCACCAACTTGAACTGGGTCCATAAAATGTTACTAAAATCTCATTACAGCATCGGATGCTGTAAGGAGTCTGATTACAGCACTCGTTTGAGTACTGTTATAGCTTTCGTTACCGTCGCGAATTACAAAAAAGTAATTATACGCTCGAATGTAGAATAAAATAAGCTTTCGAATGATGTCAATTTTGACTAGTGAAATTCAGTTTTCAAATTTCATGTTGATCCGACAAATATTTTTGGAGATATTAAACCGGTTCCATACTCAACGAACTCCTGGTATTTATGTTTTTGCGTAGGACTCGACCTTGTCTTTCTACAACATTTCAGAGTATCGGCAGAAATACTGAATCCGGAGGTCCTATGTCATTTTCCATCACTGGCGATTTTCAACGCGCTAACTATCTCCTGTTTTCCACATTTTTTCCTGATGTATGGTCTAGCAAAGAGTAGCCAGCAATTTCTCGAAGGATTTTCATCTCGGTGGTTTGGAAAACTTTTGGTTTTTCTTTGTGTTTTCCGCCTTTGTTTCAATAGCGTTGGTTCCACCGGTCTTAGAATTGTCTTATAGATCCTCACCTTACCTTTATTTATAAGTATTTGTTCCTCTCGATAACATTCCGGAGGCACCCCGATACCACCGATACTCTTTTGATTTATTTTCTGACTTCTTTCAGATCTTCATTGCTAGTGAAGTTTACTCCGAAAATTTCAACTGCATGACTTGATCTATGCTACTATTGCAACTTGGTAGTTTATACCTTAGTTCTTTGGCTATTGTTAGAGACTGCGTTTTCTGTACTAAGATTTTCACAGAATATCTTGGTTTGCGCTTGGATTTAGCTGTGATGCATCTAATTTGTTAATCTTGGTTCAGGCCAAGAAAACGCTATCTCTTTTAAAACTAAATTTAGAACATCTCTTCCATTATTAAAATACAAAAAAAGACGTCCAAAGATTAAAAAGTACCTATCAAATAATGCTTTTTGTTTTAAGATGTCATGAAACTAACAATATGTCCTTGTTGTTATTGCGACTGAATGTGAATGAGGTCGAATGGCATCGGCTGTTTATTATTTTAGCGTGCAAAATTGGTTGTAAATCTCGCTTGTTCTTGTTTTTCTTCTTTTGACATACTTCGCACATTGATGAGGACATCTTAAAAATATTGATGGAAAATCAATTTTCTTCAAAGAATCTTCACGCCCATAATAAAATATCCTATCGTTGTTCTTGTTTTGAAATGATGAAATCATTTGTAAATATTTGAATTAAAACCGTATAAGCAGGAAGAATGTTCAATCAATAACAACTTTCACAGTCTGCATGTCGTATATAAATTCAAGTTTATAAAAAATGTACGAAGCAATACGTGCAGATTGCGAAATAAATAACAGGAAACCAGTCGAGGATACTAAGTAATGCGCTATTAACTTTTACCGTCATTAGATCTACAGTGCGTTAAAGAATGAAAACGATAATAAAAAACAAGAACTTTCTAAATCTTCAATTATTTCACGTATAATCTTCAATAAGGATTTTTTTCTGAGTTAATTTAACCTTTACATAAACATTAGGCAAATCCAAATTATTCACATAAAGAAGTTATACACAGCGTAATTGGTGTGAAGTTTTAACGAATTCCAATTAAGACTTCAAAGGCAAC